GCCCTCGGAAGCCCTCGTTCTAAATGCATTGTACTGCATTACAAAGTGTAGCATAATTGTCAATAACAGCGACATTCGACACGGCCACTTCTCATTCCACTCATGAGCACCAGCAGAATTTTTAATGCTTGAGATAATGTGACGCAAGTCGGTGTACATAGCGTATGTGTATGTGTGTGTTCAGTTGGACTGTGTCATTTCTTAAATGGATCCATTATGTTTGCGGTCAGTTCATTGTAATGCGATCCGTGACCAAACACGTTCGTGCTAATAGGAAGGGTGGCCGAGAGACCCAAAGTAGACCATTAGACTTCCTCTTAGTGACCCAGTGAAACTTATTACATTGATGCACACATTTGTTTTTAGCCCATATGCAAATGACATGTGTTTTCGTTGGTAATGAGGCAAGCCCTTGTCCTCGTGCAACTTCAGTCCACATCGATCAGAGCACGTGATGGAAAGAAACTGCTGTCTGACAATCTGGAGAATTACGGTCATCATTGCAAAACAAATTGAAAATTTGAAACAACATCATTTGAAATACAAGACTAACTTGCAATATCACAAGAAAGGATATCTTTGTTTCAAGAATGATGTCATTGTATGAGACTGTAGTTGTAATACTACAAGAATAAAATCATATGTTTTGATTTAAAAAACAACAACTTTGGGTTAAGAGGGGGAAAAAAAGTTGTGATAGTATGAGAAAAATGTGGTCAGCGACCCAAAAAAAACAATAAAAGAAAATACACTTTCGGGGGTTGAAAAAGAATTTTTTTTCCAAGTTGCTGAAAAAAAACGACTTTTAGGTCCGGAGGTGCTGGAAAACCTTCCACACACACATGAGGATCCCCTTGTGACCCAAAAATGGGGAAAAAATGGGGGGTTTGGGGGAGCTCTTTCAGAGAAGTAGAATTTTATTCAGTTACATAGTTTTTGGATTTATCTTACATAATTGCTGAAAATAGCCCCTCTCCCCTCCAAATATAGACTCACGTAATTGATGAAAATCCACCACCGACAAAGTGCATTTTTTTTTATCTTTTTTAAAATAGAAATTTTAGGGCCACAACAGGAATCCTGATGTGTGTATGGCAGGTTTCCTGGCTTTTCTGCGTAAACCTTCCACACACACATCAGGATTCCTGGTATTCATTAAAATGAATGGACCAGACAACACCGAACAACACCACCTACAAGGTGAGAATTCTCACTTTTAAGTCAGAATTCTTAGATAAAAGTGAGAATCTTGCCAATTTTGGTTTTTTTTCTTTCATTGGCCCTAATTCTCTTCCGTATTTTCCTTACTTTTTTTAATCACAAAAAATTAGTTGATAAACAAATTAATCAACTCAAAATGTGTAGTGGTTCATCTCAGACTTGTTTTTTTTTCCACATCATGTTTTTTGTGCTGAAACTCTTCCTGGCTTTTTAGCATTAAACATATCAAATAGAGGAACTCGAGCTCTGGCATTCACGCTAATTGAATGTTAATTGGGGAGGACGCTTTATTTAGATGCTTGTTCAATCCATTTACGTCATTATTTATCGGCTTGTGCAAGCTAAAGTGAAGAGTCCACGCTGCTACGTAGTTGTTGGGTACGTGCGTGACTTTTCTCATCTTGAAATCACACGACTGACGTATGACCTCTTTAAATGCAACCAGTGGGGAACAAGCTTACTTGTCACAAAATATTTTACGCTCATTAAACTTCTCTTTGAATTGAAGTCGTTCGGCCGTGTCAAACCTGTCACGAACCCTTCTGACGCTCCCTCAACTCTTTTACGATGGGGTTTAGCGAGGAGGTTTCTTTATTTCAGGCGAGGCAGACGTATTTAGGAGGATCTTTCGGCTTGCCCCTCACTCCAAACAATCTATGAAGTAAAAATCCGCCGCTTTGACGCTGCCCGCAGGAGAACTGAGCGCAGTGAAGGAGATGTCTGTGTGTGTGTGTGTGTGTGCGTGTGTGTGTGTGTGTGTGTGTGTGTGTGTGGGTGTGTGTGTGTGTGTGTGTGTGTGTGTGTGTGTGTGTGTGTGTGTGTGTGCGCGTGTGTCTGCAGCTTTGTTCTTGAAAAAAAACAAACAAACAAAAAAGCTCTGTCAGTGTCTCTAACTGCACCACTACTAAAAAAAAAAAGAACACCAGATAACATTGTGTCATACAAAACGGAGGTATTATGTTGTATTTGGCAAGGTATTTGCAAATGTGGATTATTTTAATTTCTGTAGTCCTCCGTGAAAAGAGACAAACCATTGTGTTGAATCCTCCAAATAAATAAAAACATTGCTTTAACTTTGGAAAACACATATTATTTAATTTAATATTTTGGAATATTTTCTGACATTGTTCCGGACCAAACAGGTATCTAAATCATAATTCATTTTTGATTCAATTTGCATTAATTTTCTGTTTTTGAGTAAAGGGATATACTGTACATGAAAATATTTTTTCAAATCGGATTCATTGATGAATCAACAAATTAATTTAATTGATAAATCAAAAATTATTTAAAAAATCGTTTTTACTTCATCTCATAAAAGATTTTTGAAATACAGTGATCCCTCGCTATTTCGCGGTTCGTTTATTGCGGCTTCAGTGCATCGCGGATTTTTTCAAACATATTCATAATTTTTTTTTTCATATACATGTAGTACAGTACTGTATATGTTGCTCTATGTGACTCACTGTTTTGCTGACTTTCGCAGCTTCTCGCGGACCGTTTGCATACCTGTCAACTTTTCAGAGCGCCAACCTGTATAAACTACCAAAAAAATCCTTATGAAGAGCAAAAAATCCTTATAACATACCAAAGCATTTTATATGTCAAAATAACAGCAGAAAAAAACCCACGAACTTGCTTGTACACTACCGAAGTATGCAATGAATACTCTGCTGTTTTCAACTAGGAACCACGTGATTTACTGGAAAGTTACTGGAAATCAAAGCATTCGAGTAGACTAGCACCATTCTGGGCAAAAGCAAACGGAACTACCTGTTAGGGGGGAAAAAAAAAAAAAAGGCAATTTTCAGAATCCCGATG